AGGTGGTGCCAGGGCATGGCACCCCATCAGACTTGACTGGAAAGCACCCGTGAAGGACAACAAACAGACCCTGAACTATTTATACGTTTGTGTGTGTGTGTGTTGTTGTTTTTGTTGTAGCTATTGTTTTACTTTCTGTTGTTGCCTCATTGTACTCAGTCTTGAGATGGTACATAGCATGTCTACCTGGAAGGGATAGGCGGAATAAACAAGCCAGAAGAGAGAACAATGGGATGACAGTTCTGGGGGAACATGGGAGAAGGGGAGCTGGGGGAAAAGAAGTGGGTTAACTAGCCCAGGGACAAGGGAACAACAAGTGATCCAAAATCAGTGTCAAGGAGGGTGTGGGAGGTCTGGCAGGGCTGGATCAAGGGCAATGTAACCAAGAGGAATTCCTAAAACCCAAATGAAGGCAGAACATGATAGTAGGACAAGAGGAAAGTACAAAGAAATAGAAGGAAGAACTAGGAAGCAAAGGGTAGTCATAGAGATTTAAATGCAGGCATATAAAGATGTAAACATATTTATATACAATCAGGGGGAAATAGAGCTATGTGCATATATTTATAGGTTGAGTATTAAGAAAACAGATGGACAGTGGGCCCCTGCACAAGTACTCCCTCAACACAAGAACACTATGTTCTAACAATTCGGCAGTCTGAGATGTGCACCTTCCTGGCACGATCTCTGAAGATAATGGGTGCACAAGCAAATGTGGTGAAGAAAGCTGATGGTACCCGGCTACCAAGACAATGATGCACAAGCAAATGTGGTGAAGAAAGCTGATGGTGCCCGGCTACAAAAAGATATAGCACCTGAAGTCGCTGAATACAATGGGTGCACAAGCAGATGGGGTGAAGAAAGCTGAGGGTGCCCGGCTACCGAAAGATATAGCACCTGAAGTCTTAAAGACCTGAAGATAAACAAGCAGCCATCTAGCTGAGAGATGGAAGAAGCACACCAGTCTGTCCTGACTCAATCGCTGAGGACAAAGTGGGTGCATAAGCAAAAGTGGTGAGGAAAGCTGATGGTGCCCAGTTATCAGATAATATGGCATATGGGGTCTTAAAGGCTTGAAGATAAACAAGTGGCTATCTAGCTAAGAAACAACAAAGCCCACATGGAAGAAGCGTACCAGCCTACCCCGACAGGAACGTTGAAGACAAAGCAGGTGCATAGGCAAGTGCGGTGAAGAAAGCTGCCTGGCTGTCAACATATATAAAATCTGAGGTCCTATAGGCTGGAAGATAAACAAGGGGCCATCTAACTGAGAAACAACAAAGCCCACATGGAAGAAGCACACCAGCCTGTGAGATCACAAGGCATTGAAGGGATCAGGGATCAGG